CACCCCCCTTTATCCATCCGCCTTTCTAACCGAACGTTTCTTCTACCGTAGATTCCATGGGGATTTTCGCTCTCCTGGGGAAGACCACCCCGCGTGGAACGCGTGGATCCTGGCAGCCCGGCAGAACGGTCCGGTTTGAAGCCAGGTGATCACGTGGTTTTCGTTGATATGACGAACGTGGTGACGCGATCACGAGAAGAGATTCTTGGACTGATCCAGGCGGCCACGAATCAGTTGATCTTGGAAATTTATCGCAAGGGAAACGTTCACTCGTCGATGCATCGGCCTAACTCGATGAACGTTAGTCTGCAACAATCGATCGGCGGCGGACACCATGCGGTTGCGTTTAACGCCGAGGTCGGTACAGGTGTTCTAGTATGAACCCTAGAAGACTCGTTTCAAAGTTGCTTCGTTCAAGCAATCGGAGGAGACGAGTTGTCCGGACGGAAAGGCTTTGATTGCTCGTGATTTCGCTTGATCTTTTACTTTTCATAGCATTCTTCCATTCGCGGCTTCGACTGGGCGAATACTCATCGAGATCGCGGCGCTATGAGTCGCGTTTATCGAAATGTTTTGCGTGCTAGTTTGACTTGCTTGATTCGAAATGACTTTGAATTTGGAAAACTCGTGAATCGATCGTGAATGTTACCCGTTCGGAATCGCAAGTTCTCGCACAGAGAGCCGCAGCGCGCTGCATGCGTTTCCTTAGAGCTTATTTTATATTTCGTTGCACGCCATGTCGCGCGATGCTCCTGTACATTCCTTCTCGCGAGTGTCTTGTACTTGTTGCGAACGCGTAGTGTATAGCGCGTGTCCGTTTCCTTCGTCGGTGGACACGGTTAAGTTATGATACAGTTATGTTTTATTATGTAACTTGGACGGTTGTCTTTTTTTTGTTGCTCAACAAGTTCTGTTTAAAAGCATTCGTCATATTTTATTTATTTATTTCATCCCTCTCCCTTATCGATACCCGATGCGTATGCGTCGTGCCAAGAGTATGGCTGGAATAACGAATAAAGCGATCCCTTTTGCGAAGCATGCGTGCGAGCTAACGATAGATTTGCGTAACGCTCGATAAGCGCTATTCGTCCTACGACTATTACTCTGCATGCCCCACGCTGTGCACTCTTCTAAGCAATTTCTCTCCATTTAAATTCGAACGGATGGCACGGCTTTTGCGATTGAACGCGTTCAGGTGTTTCCAAATCTCGCCCCGGATGCGCCACCGGAAGAGGAATTGTCTGTGCGCGAGACGCGATATTGGGGTATCCTGAAAAGCGGTCACACGCGTTTCCTGACACCCTTAGCCGAGAGACGCGACGTCCTCTCCGCCGCGGACTACCTCATACTCTTCCAAAATCTCGACGAATTGCTCAAAATTTCCGAGGAGATTCGAGACGAGGGTGGCGGAGTCGAGAGTTACTTGTGCAGAGTTCCGAGAATCACCGCTGCCTACAGACGATATCTAAGCGGACTACAACGCGCGTGCTGTCTGCTGGTCGCTCTCAGACGAAACACCGCGTTCGCCAAGCTCGTCTGCGAGCCTGCGGTCCCGCACAAGAGACGACCCGACCTGACCGGCGTCTTACTCCTGCCTCTAGAACATTACAGGTGCGTTTCTATTCGAACAACTTTCGCGCGTTATTCGAAGCTCCGTGTTCAAAGCTAACATGCGCTGCGAACTTCCTCAGAGAGATGACGAGACTGTTGGGTCTTGCATCGCCAAGGAATTGCCAACAAGCCAGAGACTTGGCTCAGGGATACAGGGAAGCTACGGCTAACGCCGGCGTGATGGAACCACCGCGCGATACCGGCAGACCTCTGCTTAGCCTGCAAGAGGTCGAATCCCGGCTGGTTTTCGCCAGATGCAAACCGTTCACCTTGGCCATGCCTGGCAGACAATGGTGCGTTGAATCGTTGCGAAAGAAGCCACCGAAATGTAACCATGTGAAACGTTTCAGGCTATTCGGTGGTGCGTTGGCGAAAGTGGAAGGCCGAGCGCGGTTGCAACCCTCGTGGGCCTTACTCCTCACCGACCTTCTCGTGTTTGCTCGAGTCTCCCGAGATCGCGTCCTTTTCGTAACCGAAGAGCCTCTGCGACTCTCGAACATTGCCGAGGCTTGTTTCACCGTCCGCAAAAGGCCTACGGAGTTCCGATTGCAAATCGCCATCAATCCGGCCGGAAACTCGGAGAATGGTCACGTAGAGGTGACGAATAGCGGAGGATGCAGTCCTCACAGTCGTCCCCGAAGACGGGTTTTGGTATTGCGAGCGCCGACTCCGGAACTGAAAGCCGTTTGGCATAACCTTCTTCAGCGACAGATGTAAGAAATTTCGAGATTTCGACATATCGCGAGAGGTCAGAATTGGGCACCGGGTAGGTTCGCTAGTCTACACTAATTCGTTATATTTTAGAATCTATGTGAATACAGGCTATGGGGGAACACCGAGTCAAGACAGCCCGGAAGAGAGTCCGATCATCGGTAGCAATTTCACTACCACCGCGGTCAGGGAACCCACGGAAAGTTCGCAAGTGAGTGAAAAGGGGTTTCGAATCTTGGCGATTGGAACAACGAAATTGGCGTGTTATTCATCGATTCTCCATCCGACAGACTACCAGGGAGTCGCAGAAACAGGACGAGGAGAAAGAGTCGCGCTCGGCAGAGAGCATCGACAGTATGATCAAAGGTTCGAGGGAGAACAATCATCTGGCGCAATGGGTGCGCAATTCCCACCAGATTCCACCTCCCGATCACGAGGAGGTTCCCATCGAGGAATGGACGGCCGAGGAATTGGCGGCACGAGCGCCGAGAGAAAGCGGCAACGAATCGAGACGAGAACGAAACGCGACGGCGGAAGATATCATAACCGAAGTCATTAGTTCCGACGTGGAGCAACAAAGTACCGCATCGAGTGCCAGCCTGAGTACCGTCAAATCCAATAGCGTAACCGCGAAAAAGAACGGCAGTCTAGGATCGTCCAAGGAAAATTCCATCAGCTCGATTAACATATGTAGGAGATGTCACAGGTAACGTAGGAAAACGAAAAACCGATAGAAATATGTGGATCATTGCGATCGCGTATTTGTAGATCGGGTTGTCCAACACCGCCCTTGGCGAGGGATCCTTTCTCTCCGTTACCTCCAAAAATATCGGTCGTACCACCCACGCCCGATTTATGCACCAGGCACAGGCTCAGAAACGGTGCACACGATAGCCCCGAAAGGAACAGTCCAGGTTACACGCCGGCCGATGGCAACACGGAAGACGGGAGCGGGGACGATCTCGATTGCGAGGGCGAGCCACCGTACAGGTAAAGTTTGACTCGATACCGAGTCGGATCGATTGTTTCGCGACAAATGGTCTCGTTATTGTGCAGAGCATTGAGAAGATTCGGCACGGTGAGCAGCTTGGATCAGGATGACGAGATCGAGGAACAAGGCGACGACGACAATCGAGATACCGAGTCCCCGCCCGCTGGCCTGAGATCCTGGACGGCTAGGGCGAGCAATTACGTGGTCGGCAAAAGGTCGGCGTTGCTCGAACAATTAGGCGAAGGCATAGGCGGATACCTTCTTCAGTCGCCAGTTCCTCCGGAGAGAACGGAATTCTCCTTGGACCCGAACGACGAGGAAGGCACGACGTCTGGAGCTACCTCGGGCGACGATATCTGGGGAACACCGACTTCCGGCGGACCCGACGACGAAAGCTTCACCACGAGTTCGGTAATGATAGCAATCATTTTACGGTAATACGATAGCATTCGAAGGTATTGCTACGAACTCGATGACGAAACATTGTCCCGGATCCGATTGAAAATCTCTTGAACGTGCGCGCGCGTGGTATTCTTTCCTCTTTGCCAGCTTCGCTTGTTTCACCGATCTCACGGCTGTTTTAAAAGCTTGCTTGTACCGCATATCACCGAGTATCTAAAACCGTGAAGCTATTTGCGTTGTTGAGTTTCCCTTCGGGTAATTCGAGATCGAGCGAGGAAAAATCCGGGAGAGAGCAACCTAATCGAATCGGGATAAGAGACAAATTAGTTGGTAAGCTTCGCACGCATCTGCATGACAATGCTTGACCTTTGTTTGCAAAGAATTACTAGCCCGAACTGTGCCTGACTTCCCTAGTCGCCGCCCGTTGGTACAGGCAACGTCGTTGCATTCGGTGAAGACAACTACGGCCTAAACCTATCGGCGGAAGACGACGCTGACCAAGAGTCTGAAAACGAAGACTGCAACCTGTCGGAACTGAACATGGACCAGTTGCTCGGCAGCGGAAGCCTCAGCTCGTTGCGGTGTTTCATGGGCAGACAGAGGTTAGAACCACTCCTGGAGGAGGACGATTCGTCCGGAAGCGCAAAGGATCAAGTCGGATGGTGGTGACAACGGTTTCAAACGGCGGCGTCGAAGAACGTCGGCGCCAGTTCCGATGGCAACGACAGGGATCGCGTCTTTGCCAGACTGAGCCAGGAGGATAAAGAGTTTCGCAGAAAGATAGTGAATCTGCATAGAAAACTGTCGGATGTCGAGGATACTTGCGTGACCGAGACCGTGTCGTCGGACACTGTGAACATCTCGAAGGACGCGGAACGATTGAAAGAATTGGAGTCAGTCGCGCGAAGGGCGGAAGAGACTAGAGAGAACAGAAATGCCGAACAAGCCGAGGCAGAAGGTTATTCGTCGACGGAGTTCGGAGACGCGAGGAATCGTCGATACAATCGACGAGGCGAAATGCAACACGAACGAAGAAGGCGAATAGAATTGTTTCAGCGTAAAACGAACAAGCTCGAGGAGGATTCGGACGATCAGAACGATAGCAGCCCTTCGAGGACAACGGAGAAAAACTTTTTAAACAGGTTGAGAATAAAGCGACGCAGCATGAAGCTGCTGAGTTTCTTGAGCGGCAAGGCCGCGGACAGATCGCAAGAAGAACGCGCTGCGAGACTGTTGAGAATGTACATGCCCGAGAAAGGATCCAAAGCACAAAATACTATTTCTATTCATCATACGTCCAGAGACAGACGATTTTGGAAACTGCGGAGTCGAAGACGAACAAATTCCACTTAAACGCGAATGGGTATCACTACCTTCGGAGAACGGTCGAAACGGAAAGAAGAAAGAAAACGATAGAGAAACGACCGTTTCTTTGTTATTAGAATTTCCAGTATTCGAGTTATCAAAGTTTTTTCAATTCTATTTAAGCACGTACAAGTTCACAGACTTGTTTTCATAGAATCTAGCGTAACGATACAAAATTAGGTTTACTATTTCGAATCTAGACTATTTCTTCGTCTCGTTAACGGTTTCAAAATACATCAGTACTTTCGTCGGAAACGGTTAGTCGATTAAAAAGCTCCAGAATGCGAGAGTCGCGTTCTGTATTCTAGCGTGCTTATCAGACTTTGAACAGAACGGTCTTTTTCGGGAGATTTAAAAACGGTCTAGTGGAACGTTTTTCAGATATACGTTTAAGATGTTTCGTTTACAGCGTAAGACTGCTCGTCGACCTAGTCTCGCTCATTAAAATTTAGATAATGTTTGTTTCATTTTTGGAACACCGTATCTCAGTAGGTCCGCACGACTGACGCAAAGCGGCACTCATCTTCCACCATAGATCTTGCTCGAACATACGAAATAAAAAGAAATTGTAAAAAATAAAAAGAAAAAAAAAAAAAATGAAATTTTAACATTACTGTTGGTAGGTTGTAACATGGCCAACTGGCTGTAATCGATATACAAAATAAAGTATATTATTTGTTCACTTTCTGTTTCCCTGTTTTTTACCTACATAATATATATATATATCGAATGCAACAACCTCGTCTTACACTGGTATCATTAATATTTATTCCGTTATATAAGATTTCCTTTTAACCACATGAGTCTAAGCTGTTCTTGAACTGTCTCGCTGTTCAATCTTTTGACAGAAGTCCTAGCATCCATGGTTGCTTGATAACGCGCAGGATCAACTTTTCCAGTAACGTCAACTTTTCCACTGTCGTGGACAAAAAATTCCGTAAGGTCATCCACTGTACTTGGTAGATTTTTAGGTAATATTACCGGATCAATTTTTACTAAGTGCTTCACTCTCCAAAGCATGGCACACATATCTGGTGTATTTTTTACGAATACAAAATCGTTTGACTGAAAAAATAATTTTTATATAAAGTAAGAGAGTACAGTCGACGAAAACTATCGATCGATTTAAGGTTAAGTCAAGATTTCTTACGTCTTCCTCGAATCCTAATTTTTTCAGCGTATCTTTTTCCCAATAAGGATTACCTTTGAAAGGTTTTACTCTTTTAACCATTAAAACCTTCGCCGGAGTAATTGGAGGATCTACGTGATCCTTTGTACTGAAATGAAAATGTTTCTGTCGTGCACAATTTATAAACACGAATAAAAGCTAGTATTTCTTTTCTTACCTTGGATGAAACTTGACATTTCCATATCTAACGACATCCTTGAGCCACGCTTTCGTATATTGTCGATGACCACGAACAAATGTTAATAAAACTTTTACACGACTTGTCATTTCGTAGTAAGGTTACAAATCCAAAGTTAGGTTATGTTATGTAAGATATATGTACCATATATCGAACGATCACGATTATTTCTAATAACCAAAATTTGTAACCGTTAGTAAGAATTTTATTTCTAAAATTCCATCTTTCGAGCAACGATAAATTTTCAATACTTACGTTTTAAACTATGCTTCTATTCGCGTCTTATACTGTATACGTTTTCCATGATTCAATACTGCGATACTAACGGCATCTACCAACGGGGATTGGAACGAGATGCAGACATCGATAAAGTAAAAGAACTAACAAAATATCTCGAGGTTGAAGTACTTTCGAAGAAATCAATAAAGCGTAAAATTGTTCCATCTTCCAAACTGCGCAAATACGAATTTAAATATCACGCGTCCGATAATAATATATCCCGATAGAGACAGATAACGGCGTTTCCTCTATATTTGATCTATTCCTGCGTCATTTACCAACAAAATGTTCCAATCGTATTAAATAGAAGAGGCAGCGAATATCGAATATCGAACAATACGAATTCGATATCTCGAGCACGTTAATTAACATCGACAAAGTATCAAAAACTGCAGAGACTGAGAACAGTATTTCAATTTCCGTGTAAATCCTATCGCAAATTCGTCTAGATATTTTCACAAACACGACCGTGCGGTATTTGAAAATTGTTCGCGAACTCGAGATGCTCGAGAGCATACAGCTCGTAGGAATGCATTGTATTTCAACGTAATTTTCGAACACGGAGTGTCTGCCAGGCTGTAGAGCGACAGCCGGGTCAGGAACGGAAGGAATATTTGAATGCACGATGTAAACGAGCTTAACAGTTACGCGAAACGCAAATGCTACTCTCGGTATACAGCTTTAATCTTTAGATTCCGAAACATGCTTGTACCTAAGAGGACCGACATCGTAAAAACACGGTGTAACGTAACCGCGATTTCTTCGCATTTCAGCTCAGCGTGCATCGATATTTTCCTAATTTTTTGAAACCTGCACCGGTAAAGTCGGCAAAGGAGAAGAAATTCCAAGCGTTCACAGATATAACTAGGCCATCGAAGCATGGTTCGCGGTACCCTTTGACAGCGGAAAAACCGAACATTCGACACGCGATGTACGTCCGATCCCTTATGGTATATCACGTTTTCCAACGCAGCGATCTTCAATGGACACTTACTCCGGGGGAAATGATATTCGCTTTGTGGCGGAGAGTAACGGAAGAAAAGAAACGAGAAGACGAAGGTGAAGTGGTCGATCGCGGAGCGGAAGAAAAATGCTCGTGTCCTTGTTCGTGTTCCTCGAAAGTTTACAACCAACGGTACACCACTCGTATCCGTATCAAAATTTTCTTCCACGTTTCTCCTACTAGTTTTATTATACACTGCTTTCTCGACCCTTCTTCGTATCGAGTTTATAACTCGTAAAACACTCTCCTCCCCCTTTTTCCCCGTTCATTCTCCATCGCGCGAATTCCAAGTTTCGTTTCCGTTTTCGATTAATTGCCATGAAAAATTTCTAGTCGTTCGGCTGTTTATCACGGTGTTCGCATGATACCGTATGTCGTTTAGCTATGTACGTACTCGTTTATCGGCGCACCGGGCTGGCCAGGTGAAGTCCGAAACATTCGCGGACATGGATGGAATTATTCAACGAAACGTAATACGTTACACGTTGGTGAGCACAGTTGCGGTTAAAATGTCGATTAGATTGTGATTTATGGGAAAGGTGACGCGTTCTGGTAGGTTTGCGGACGCGACACTGTTCAATTACGCAACGTCGGACTGGAAATTTCGCTTGGTGGAGCTGGGATGTGCCGGCCGGTATCGAGAAACGCTCCACCGACTGTATTTCACGTCTTGTCGGGCTAAGTAATTTCAACGGTTCGCTTGATTCGTATTCGCGAGATCGTTCTGAAATAGCTGGCATCGTTGGGAACTCGAAGGGAGCAGCGAGATAACCGATGATTCCCCCTATCGGATAGTAGGATGCGCGCCCGAAGACCATCGAACCCGCCGTTCATTCCGAAAAACAAACTTTTCCCTCGAATTTTCTCTACGTTTCTCTCCGGCTCGATCGAGCACGCTTTCGTTATTCCGCATTTTTCAAGCGATTCGAGATTTCGCCGAGGGGATGTAGAACGGTTGTTGCTTTCCTCGTTCCATCTAACAACCGTCCAAGATGGAACTTGAATTTCCATTGTATAAGGGGCGAGTGTAATTCAATCGGAACTAATGGACCGTGAGCGCAGCACCATCGGTAATCTCGTTTTGATGTCTATCGTGGCCTACATCGTGCAGCTACACGTTTACGCGAGTGCTACCACGGTGCATCGTCAATGCGCCAATCTACTCACCTTCGAAACTTATCGGATTAATCGAGTGCGAATCAAATGCTACCAACCAATTAATCGGGACACGCATCTGCGAATCCCGTTTTCTCGAATTAATTGCGTCGATAACGGGAAAGGGGAAATTGAAAGAAAAATCTTTCGTTCGAAAAGACATCGCGACTAGTCTCAGATATTAACACCTACGTTTGCAATTTCGCGCGAGACTCACGGTAAGGAAGTCGGGCCGAACACGAGCGTTGCGGTCCAGAGACGAAGTTCGTAGATAGGGGCACAACGTAAACATCACGGGTCAGCCTCGTGGATAGTTTTCGTCGATGTCTTTCCGACTCAGTTACGTGTTATTCTTCGACGGGTTCGGACGTTCACTGCTCGACGCGTGACCGAGTTAAGAGGAAAAAGGTTTTAACATTAAGAACACGAGCAAGTAAAGATAACCTTCTGCGAAGCAGTTAGCGATTAATTCGAGCCACAATCTGACTCGCCACGTTCTATACAATAGGGCCGGAATAGAGGCAACGATATTTGCAGGGACAACTCGGGGGGTCTCTAGCGAGGCCTTGTAGCCGGACACGCCGTGTCCTTGCCGCATAGCGTAGGAACCAATTAAGGAACCATCCCACGAGACAGACGCGTTACGAGCCCCTGGACCGCAGGGCCCATATCTCGGTCGTGTTCGCACAGGTATCCTAGGCCCGCAGACCCTCGCATCGACACTGCCAATACTATCAGACCGTCGACGTTTCAGCGAATTCGTGTGCCTCGGGTAGACAGTGATTCCAGAGGCTTTGCACCCGAGTCGGGAAAGTATGGAGTTGGCTTACGAAATTATGGAGTTATCTCGTACACGAGAGTGCGTCCCGGCTTGAAAGGGTGCCAACCCAGTGGACAATGGCCATTAGCTAGGTCGCGGTACTAATCGACCACCGTTCGTCCTATTCGCGTCTCGGATTCACCCCAATTAGACCTTCGATCTGTTCGATTGTAAGTCAAATCCGCAAACGAATCGGTGCTGTGATCCTGCCGCGTTTATGTACCTATCGATCATCGTTGTCCAAGGTCCACCGAAAATTTCTCGCCAATATCTGTTTCTCTTATAATCGTTTTTCCACTGTCGTATTCGACCGGTGTAAATTTATGCGCAATTCGTTTCTGTCCACGTTAATTCGTACATTTTTACGAATTAGTAGACTCGCACGATGCACGTTTCCGCGATACATACGCGTTAAAATATTCTTATTATCTTTATCGAAACGAGAATGGACGTACGACAGAAAAATCCGGTTAATTAAGGATTACGAAGAGTGGTCGCGGTACATATAAAAAATTGCATTTAATATATGGTACAGAAATACGGAGTTTACCGTTGCGGAAATGGAAAAATTTCGTCGTATATTTTATTATAGGCCGTAATTGTACAGTGACTTTTTAATTCGCGCAATTCGATTCCGAATCTATATCTATTCCACGTGGTATGGGAAATTAAAAAATTCTGATGTTGGAAAAAATCAAAAGTTTTATTCTGTCCTTCCTTCCGTGATTCGCAACGACGAATTTAAACGTTACCTGCGACAGTTGGAAAGAGATTTACGACGATTTTCGCTTTGCTTTGACATGCATCCATCAGCGATCGAATAGCGTTATCGCTGTTCGAATTAATCGTAATCACTTTTGTCCCGAGTTGCGAAAACGAGACCTCTTTAACGATTTCGACATTCTAAGCGCAATATATCTGTGCGATTTCGCGACACGTTTCTTAATTGCGAAACGATCGTGCTTATCATCGAGCATCGATACGTTGCTCTTTCGCGATCGAGAAGAAAAACGGACTTTTGGAAAACAGGCGACGCGCAACGAGCCGAAAAGAAATCACAGCGTACATTTTCACGCGATATGCAGGCGTGCGTCGAGTTGCGAAAAGTTGCGAAAAGTGTTGGAAAAGATCGCGGCGGAAGTTGCGAGCGTGCTCGAAGGATCTAGATCCAGGTCGATGGGAAACGTTAGCGTGGCTGGGCGCGATATCGAACTTGCTACGTTAGGATATTAAAGTTCTTGTCACAAGGCGAAGGGTTACGAAAGTTTCGCGATTCAATTTCGCGCGGGTCGCATCGACCAGGGAACCGACGTGTCGCGAGATTTCGGCGATTCGCGAGATTTGTGCGAAAACTCTCGTCGGTTCGAAAAACTTTCCTTAATATACGTATCCGCGACAGTGGTCCCCATAGAGGAAATTCGCGGGAAACGCGTGGAGGAGCCGCGTCGCGCGTTTTCGTCGCGATTTTCCACGTCTGCTCGTCTTTCGGAAGTGCCAGGTATCGCGATCAATCTATTAAAACGCGCGGTTGACAGTTTGATATTCCTTCCGGTGATATTCAAATTTCTTTGCGAGAGTTCTAACAAAGCCGGAGAAAATTTCAGGTAGCTTCACCTTTCACGGAATAATAGGTGGCTTAACCGAAGTGGCTTAAACTTTGCCCCTGCCCTCGAATGTCGGCTCCTTCTGCTACCAGTCCAGAGGAGACCGCGAATTTTAATGGAGAACCGTGTCGAGAACTTTGGTCACCTTCAACTTTTAACCATCTCTCCGCAAGACTTAACTTCCTATCTCGCGAATACGTTATTTTCTTATGGTAGATCGACCGGTTTGCCAAAGCGTGTGATCGGTTCCGAATTACTTGGAAGTTCGCGCGATCGAAGGCTTTCTTTGCCTCGGCCAGATCAATTCATGCGGAACCGTGATTGAAATGCAGTCAACGTCGCGAATTATCTCGGCATTTCTGGAAAGCGTTTCGCGAGCAACTAATCGGCGAATCGAGATAGGTGGTTACCAGGGTCGTTTTGATAAGAATATGTTATTAGATCGGCTCGAGTGCCT